GATCTTCCTGATTGCAATTGATTGGATAATGCGACAGACAACGGCAACCAACGAGGGAACAGGCATAAAATGGACTGACACAAAAGACTTGGAGGATCTGGATTTCGCCGATGATATATGTCTGATTTCCCATAAACTGGAAGATATGCAAGTGAAAAGTAACAAGTTGGCAGAAGAAGCATCAAAGATAGGACTTCACGTGAACATAGATAAAACAGAGGTAATGAAGATTCCTAGCCAACATCAACAGCAACAACAACAACAGACCACAATAAGCATAAATGGGAAGAACCTGAAAGAAACAACCTCCTTCACCTACCTGGGAAGCATCGTCTCAACTACAGGCGGAACTGACGAGGACATCAAAGCCAGAATCGGAAAAGCAAGACAAGCTTTCATTACTCTCAAATCTGTGTGGAGGTCAACAGCAATCAGCATCAAAAATAAGATCCGGATTTTCAACTCCAATGTGAAGTCAGTGCTACTATACGGATCAGAGACTTGGCGAGTCATAAAGAGCATCTCAAACAAACTTCAAACCTTCATTAACAACTGTCTCCGCTCAATACTCAAGATCAGATGGCCAGAAAAGATCAGCAACAGGGATCTCTGGGAGCGAACCAATCAGGAACCGATTGTGAAACAAATAGGCAGAAAGAAATGGAGATGGATTGGCCATACGCTGAGGAAACCATCAAGTGACATCACTAGACAAGCCCTCGAGTGGAACCCGAAAGGGAGGCGGCGAGTTGGTCGTCCAAGGGTGACTTGGAGGAGGTCATGCGAGGAGGAGATGAAAGCATGTGGACAGACCTGGAGCAGGGTGAAAAAGTTGTCAGAAAACCGAAGTCAATGGAGGTGCGCAGCTGAAGCCCTATGTTCCTCTAGGAACTAAAGGATACAATAATAATAATAATTTCCTTCCTTTCAAACCTTGTGGAATAATGGCATGAGCACATCTACGGCAGTCTCTAGTTCCGTTTTCCGTGCTTCGGGATGGGGGAATTCCGTCTGTTTTCCTGGACTTCAGTAGCTTGGTCGCATTCAGGATTCCTTTTTTCGTTGGAAGAGTGATGTTCGCTGGCATTTCTCTGTGTGCTTCTGGTGGTATTTTTGGGCGAGTTGCCTGTGGTGGTCGATTCAAGTCCTTCAAAGTGGTCAGCCCAATGTTTGTTTAGTTTCCCCTCCTTGGTAATCAGATTCCCTTGAGCATCTTTTATTGGTTTCATCATCTGGGTTGATCGCTTCCCGAATAGGGACATACATCCCATGAATCGTTCTGTAAATGACATTAATTGTTTTGCCACTTGACACTTGACTATAATTATAATCACAAACACTTTATCTTTGATTGCATTCATACTATTATTTTATGTATTGGCATTTTTAATTCAGTCCCCTCACTGGATGTAATTTCTTAACAGCCATATATATATTAGTGTCATTAAAGTCCACATGACGAGAGAACCTGCTAGTCAAATATCTTTTAAATAGGGACATTTCACTGCGCAAATAGGCTTGTGTTGTTTGAAAAATGAAACGAAAGACAAGTAACTAATCAAACAAAGATTTGCACACCGTATTTTGGCAATGTGTAGTCAAAAGCTTGTTTTCATTGTTGTGAAGCTTGTCTTTTCATGCGAATAGACGGTAGGATTGTTTTTCAGTGTATATTTCGTTGGTTGTGGTATGTGCTATTGGTAAGATTTATCAGTAGTATATATGTATATATATAGATGTTCATTAATATAAAAAATATCAAATAGCTGGGAGATAGATTTGACGTCAAACACTGCAAATGATTTAGCGTTGTGGAGAAACGAGAAGAAGACAAAGAAACAATACGAAGGACAGAAGTAGCACAAAATGGCAACACACTTTTCGGCGCCCAACAATTGCCATATTTCTCGACTTGAAGGCGGCCTTCGACTCAGTGGATCGAAAGGTACTATGGCAATGTCTGACTGTGAAGGGAGTGCCAAGAAAGTACATTGCACTAATCAAGGCACTCTATTCAAACTCACGTAGTCGTGTAAGGGCTTATGGGGAATTGTCATCTGAATTGGTAACAACCAGTGGTGTCCGACAGGGATGTCCACTTTCCCCATTTCTGTTTAACTTCATCATAGATATGCTAATGGAAGTATCCTTAACTGAACGTTGTGACTTAGGAATCGACTTGTTACCAAGGAATAGTCTTATGGACTTAGAATATGCAGATGACATAGTCCTGTTAGGGGAGGATGCTGACAAAATGCAGAGTCTTCTGAACACCTTGAGCAGCAATCTTCGTATGTTTGGCATGCGATTCGCCCCTGCAAAATGTAAGATGCTGCTACAGGACTGGACCACGTCAACCCCTAACTTAGTGATAGGGAGGGAAGTGATAGAACATGTTGACCACTTCACCTACTTGGGAAGTTGTATTAGCACCAACGGACTGATTGGCGATGAAATCTCAGCACGGATCCGAAAAGCTCGAGCTGCTTTCGCTGACTTACACCATCTCTGGCGTAGGCGTGACATCCGGTTATCAACCAAGGGACGTGTGTACTGCTCATCAGTTCGCTCCGTCTTTCTCTATGGCTCTGAAACATGGCCAATACGCGTTGAAGACATGAAAAGGTTGACTGCTTTCGATCATAGATGTCTGCGATCTCTTTCTCATGTTAGGTGGTTTAATAAGGTAAGTAGTGTTGACGTTTAGGCGTAGAGTGTTGGGCAAAGAGGGGAAATCAATCGACGAGGCTATAAAGTTACATAGACTAAGATGGTTAGGTGACGTGCTGCGCATGCCTAACCATCGCCTCCCCCGACGAGCATTACTAGCTGATATAGGTTCAGGTTGGAAAAGAGCCAGTGGTGGCCAAACAAAAACATGGCACCAATCCATGAAATCCTTGACAGTTAAACTGAGTCAGGTAGGGAGATGCAGACTCCCGGGTTGGGGCCCTCGGGACTGACTCTAAGAATCAATGGCTGGAGACAATAGGTGACATGGCTCAAAATCGTTGTCAATGGCGCAGATGTATTCAGTCTCTGTAATCTTTCATATTCCTTTCTACCATTACCCATTCTGTTTCACTCTTATACTTGTCAAACTGTATTAATTCTCTTCACTCATCTTCTTGTCTACCTCTGTGAGCTATTTGGAACGTGGCAACTCGAACTGCTGCACTTCGGTGCCAAGTTCTATGTTGAATCCAGACAGACAGACAGACAAAATGGCAAATATGTGCGGATGCCGATTCGACACAATAAGGTGTACATAAAGTCGCTATATAGAGATACCGAATTCCAAATAATCATTACTTTACCGAATTCCTTGTCTTCTACGACTGTACACTTGTCGGCATCCACTAGAGAATGATTGTAAACCAATTGGTATGAGATATCTGTTCGTCCTACTTCTAGACTCCTGTGTAGTGGGCATCTGTTATCACAGCGGGGATCGAAACCTCATGGTATTCTGAATACGAGTTGAACTTGTTGACCATTTACCCATTGAGTTGGAGATCAGTGGTGCCTGATTTCAAACTTTTGTCAATTCGCGGTATGAACTTATTGCTCACAGATGCCACTGATAAGTATCCGCTTTACTATGCCGATGATTCTGAAATTAATGTCGGTTTGTTGACGAAATCTACTTTTAGATTATTGAAAATCCCTACAACACCCGAAATTTTGGAGATTGTTCCTTACTAGGACTCTGCTATTAATGTCACTACATTTATTGAAAAAAAATGGTAAACTGAAATTCTAGGGTATACTAGCGCATACTGGATGTATTAAATGTGTTTACTTGGGAAACTGTGCTGTTTTCCAGTCTGAAGTAGAAGAGTTTGTTTGTGAGTTCTGAAACTCATGTACCACCACATTCACAGTGGGGATAGGATTCACTGTTATACGGGGAATTGTGTTTGTTATAAGTCCACATGTAGTAAAAGCCTTTAATTTGTTTGATATTATTTTGAGTTGAGATAAGATTGTAGCATAATTAATATTAGTAATCATGTTTTCCGAAATTTAGCTTTCTTTCTCCCCCACACTTTTACACAGCAGATGTTTGTCGGCAGTTAAAAAGGTGTATTTGTATGTGTGTTAAAATACAGCTCTCTGAGCATTACATTTCATTCTGATGAAGTTTGTATTTGTGTATGAAATGGGGAAACACTATAAACATGTGTATTTTTCGTCACACACATACACGTAATAGAAGTGTGTAACGACAAAAGACAGGGGCCTGGTAACATCGTTTATTGAGAAAATCAGGAGATATTTATAGATTTTTATGTACATTATTATTCGTTATTGTTAGCAGAGAAGCAACGTCTTCTGATTGGTTTTTATTGCTAAAGGTTATTCTGTACTGCTTGTGATCGTTGCTTACAAAGTTATCCACATATCTGCTGATCGTATGTGCTCACTCTAAGTCTGCTGTGATTGGTTGTTGAGCTCCTCAAGGTTAGGCTTTGTTCTTGTATTTTCTCATAACCCGATTTGGGACGTAAACATTGACGTCAATTGTTATCTACAATTTTGTCTTGCAGACTTCTGACCACAAGTGTATTTTCTAAAATGATCTCATTTACAATCAATATGCAAGCATTCCGTACACTATACTCTTTGAACTTGAGTCAGTGAAAGCCTACGAGTCACTCGTAAGGTGTCCGTGTTTTACCTTTTTGAAAAAACTAGTAAAGCTGTGACATTTTATTTCTACATTTTGGGTATATGTAGAAGTATATGTGAGCTTTTGTATTCGGTTACAGTCAATTGATTTGCTCTTCAGATATAAATATTTTGTCGCAGCTATTCCAGGTATAAAATATAAAGAAAACTGTAACTCTGTTTGATTAGTCCCCCATAAGTTAGCGTTAATTTTTCTTATTTATTAATTAACATGAATTGCACTATGTTAAGTGCCAATATAAAGGTAGGTATTATATATTTCGTATTAATCCATCATTAATCATAGATACTATCGTTTTATCTATTAGCTTACGGCCTATAGATGTGGAATTCATGCGTCGACTTCAACATAAAGTGAATATTGTCCCGGTGATAGCTAAAGCCGATGCTTTAACTGCAAATGAATTACGTGCATTCAAAGAACGCATTATGGCAGATTTTGATCGTTACAAAATTGATATTTATCGTCTACCAGAGTGTGATAGTGATGAAGAAGATGAAATTAAACGCTTAGATAAAGAAATTAAGGTTAGTCAGTTAGTTGTTCATTGATTACCTGGTCATATGTCGCTAAACACTACTCATACTGAAGATTCTATATGTGCTTTATGTATTTGTTCAAAAGTAATTCGTAGGAAGGTAATACTGAACGATATCTTGTTATAACTGAATTACCTGGAACAGATTTCAGGTAAAGAGCTACCCGCGGGATTTGTGAGAGTTAATGATACTACTTAGTTGCATAGGCTGAAGTAGATAGAGCGAGATTTGAACCCAGTAGCTAATTGACTGAATGTCAGGTACTTAAGCCAATACTTTGATTGGACACTAGTAACTAGTGTGATGTGTCTAGTCTTTTGTTTGGTGCAGACTGAATTCTGTCAGTCAGGTTTGCAATGTGGCCACCATTCTAGGTTGCCCATCATCATGGTGCACATTGATTTGATGATATTAGATGATTGGAGGCGATGGGTAGGAAGCCTTGGACCTAGGTTTCGTGCTAGTTGGCACTCATCGGTCAGCAAGGCGTATCTGCAACCTTGAAAGGACTCATGTTTCTTCTGAGATTCAAACCCGCATTACCCAGTGCTGCAGTCAGAGACGTTACCACTGAGCTATTCACGCTCACGATTGACCTCCTTTAGGACAGCATTGGATATTTTGAGTGGATACTGGTAACTAGTGTGATGTGCACGGTGGTGGCGAGCCAACTAGAATGGTGGCCACATTGCAAACCTGACTGATCGAATTCAGTCTGCACTAGACAAAGGACTAGTTACTAATATCCAATCAAAGCATCCAATACAGTCCTAAAGGAATGAGGTCACTCGCTACCCGAATAGCTCAGTGGTAACGTCTCTGACTGCAGCACTGGGTAACGCGGGTTCGAATCTTGGAAGGAATATGAGTCCTTCCAAGCTTGCAGATATGCCTTGCTGACCAGTGAGTGCCAAATAGCACGAAACTTAGGTCCAAGGCTTCCTACCGATCGCCTCCAACCATCTCATACTTAAGCCAATGAATGACATCTGCAATATTCAAGAACATACAACGACTTTCAAACTGTTTTCAACTTACGTAACGTGCTTTTGTAATGACTGAAATTCATTCTTTTAATTAAGACTTTCACGAAATCGTCTTTTTTGATAAAGATAAGAAATCCGTACTTTTGCATAGATTTACTGTTAAAACAGTTTACTGTGTTGCTCCCTTGTAGCTTCGAAACCTAGGAAGTTCACTCTTTTTCACTATAGATAGTTTTATTGATCAAGTTACGTTTCGTTCAGTTAATGTATACTTATCAATAGATATTGATATGGATTGTGCGTCGGTGGCACAGTGGTTAGGAATCTCGCCGACCATGCACATGGTCCGGGGTTCGAGCCCGCACCGACGCACACCTGATATCTATGGTCGGCCTGCAAAATTTGGGCTACCGATATCCATGCTGAAAATTCCATACTTGTACCAAAAATACAGTGTGGAATCAAGCTGTAAATCAAAAATAAAAAAAAATAAAATAAATAAATCCTCCGCATTTAGATAATTGCTTTCTGTATCGTATTTCTGGTTGCACTTATCGGCTGTAAATATTTCTGTTTTCTGAGGATCTTTTGACATTTTCGTTTTTACTTTATTTTCCTTTAGGCTGTTCTGCCTTTTGCTGTAGTTGGCAGTAACTGTGTTATTGACTTGGATGGTAGTCGACGAAGCCGTGGTAGGCAATATCCTTGGGGATCAGTTGAAGTAGAAAATAGTCGTCATTGTGACTTCAGCAAATTGCGCATATTTTTACTGAAGTAAGTGCACTACTTTGCAAATAATCTAACCTGTAACAGGTATTTCAGCGTTGATATTCTTGTAGATAGAATTGTCTTTTTCTTCAGTATTTCATCCAAAGACAATGCAATGATTAGTTAACCAAGATTATTTCTTTTTGAGAACCTCCTCTTTTGATTCTAGTGTTATACATTCATATTACTTGTAGAATTAATGCATATCAACTAAACTGGTAAAGGATTTTTGTAACAACGAAACACCTATGATGTTTTCATGTAGTGCAGCGCAAATCACAACCTGTTCTATTGTGCACCTATTACTTCAGTAAAACATCAAAGCAAGCTAAATCCAAGACTAGCTACTGATCTACCAGAAGATATAGACGACAATTGATGACACTTACAGGGCACTATGGAAATGGTTGAGTGAATTCCCTTGAAACAATGAAGAAAATCTTGCTGACAAACACTGGTCCACGTCAGCGCATTGTGACATCTTGACACCGTTCGGTCTGCATTTAGCTACTATGTGTATGACCATGCGGTGTTAACAAAAACCCACAAGACGTGGTTGTAAAGGGGTTCAAGTGAATTGAATGCAATGACCTCTGAAACATAGGTGTGTCACAAAATATGTGAGCCACAAGTAGTGAGAACACTGTTGTGATTGGGACAGTTTATAGGTTCTAGTAAACAAAAAATAAGGTTGGTAAACAGTCGATGATCGTTTTGCCGATTATTGTATCGCTACACTTTTTTGCAATTGACAGTTGTGATTATTTTGAAAACTGGCCATCTATTGGTAAACAGTGTCTGGTTACTAGTTATAACTAACAATCAAAGTGGGGAATTTATTGTCGGTTGTTTGGGTTGGAAGTGAATAGACATTTGTTTGTTGGTGGAAATTTGTATGTCCGAATGAACGAAGAATAAAACTGGATTATTTCTACTGACATTTCACTGCCTCCCGATGCTACGCTAAGGATCTCTGTTATTTCGAAGACAAAAAGGTGTATTACCGTACATTAATTAGCTTGAAGAACCTACAGGTGATGAGATGCTGGTGAGGAAGGTGTTTACGTTGTTTGAAGGAGTCTACCTATCTTCCATATCATTCAATTTCGAGTAGTGTGCAGGTGAGATGCGTTGAATTAGGAGATCTCTTGTTTAGAAGAGGTCACCACCTGTCAGTAATTGACTTCCCATTGTTACATGAGTTTTGGTTGCTTGTGATTATATTCTTGACATTGTCTTGACAAAGTCCGTAAGGTGTGTACTGTTTTATAGTGGTTGTGGTACTGGTCAGGGTGGGAATGAGAAGCCAACTGATGATGTATGCGTGATGTGAGGCTGTATGAGGTAGGATAATTGTGTGGCGTTTATGCTTGTTAGTGTATTGTGGCTGAGTTACTGAGTGGGTGATTCTGAGAATTGACTGTTGTAATCCTGATAGTCCCATCGAGTTGGGCGATTCCTCTGTACATGGCTGAACTGGACAGTTTCCGTGGATTGTTGTTGTGTTTTGTTGTGACTTCTCCCAAGTCTTTTGTAGGCTAATCTCATTTCAGTTAACACTGTACGTTGGGAAAGAAAGTGACTCAGCACGCGTGGTGTATGTTTTAGCCATTATCTCCAGTGGACCGGCAAAGTCTTAGTAATTGAATTTCCTTCTTTTCCAACACTATACGTAACATCATTATTACATGTCATGTTGTTGCGCCTAATATGATTAACTGAAAGAGCTTATTCTTTTCGCCATTCTCTTCGTATCCCGTAGTTTCGGCTTCTGTTCCATATGTAAAGCAAGATAGAACAATCATAGGATATAGGTGAGCTGCATTCAATTCATACTCCCATTTCCACTTATAATTAAATGTCACCACCTTTTGACTTATAGAAGCAGCTCCCACTGCTTGTAACTTAGTCTATATTCCATTCATGATGACGTTAGATGACGCCATATTGTTGTTGAACTGTTCCTTAATCTACTCTGCCCAAAATCTATGTCATTTCTGCTGAAAAGTTTTTTGAAATTCTATCTCTTTTGGAGTATATTTCTCTTATCACAGATTTTTTGGAAGCCCTTCCATCAATGACCTCAGTTGATTAACAGGTATTACTTCTCGATGATGCCTTTTTCATTCTGTTACTCTGTGCAGTTGTATTTACTCCTTGTTGTCTTCCATATTTTAGAAGTCCTCACTAGTTTTCAGCCATATTTTCACTCTCTTGTTCATTTGTATTCGTCACAGTTTTATTATTTTTCTTTCTGGGGCTTGGAAAATTTAAGTGATGCAATTATGTTCAAAGTTACAAGTTAATAAATAAGTCTTTCAGATGTTTTCACTCCTGAAAGTTTTGGTTGATAAACTAAAATGGTACTATAACAGTGTACATCTGCACACTATCTGAATATGGATATGAACATATGTGAAAAACATATGTGGTAGTATGAAATTCCATGGTAATTTGTTTATTAGGTGTATCACACAGTGACGTTCCCAACACAACTTGTTGTTTATAATCATTTCCTTAACGTTGTCCAGTGAGTATGTAACAACAGAAGACAAGGGCCAGGCAACAGATAGTTTATTACGGAAATCAGCATGTATTTATATATATAGTTCATGTACATTATTATAGCTGATTCAAGCAGAAAAACAGTCTTCTGATTGGTTGTTTCTTGTGACTGGTTTCTCAGAAAGTTAAGCCATATATCTGCGAATTGTATTTGCCCACGCTAAGTCTGCTGTAATTGGTTGTTTAATCAGCCTTGTTCATATTTTCTCACAGCCAATATTAGCGACATAGACATTGACGTAATTTAATGTCTACCAATTGGCTAGCAGCTTTCTCTCACCACAAGTATTGCTGTTTTACTGTTTGATGTATCTAGTAAACAAATTGACATGAATATGGATATATTCATGCAATGCGTCTCTTTTGTGCTTCTTTGCAGTTTTTGACATCAAATCCGTCTCTTTGCTGTTTGATATTTTTATGCCGATGGACATGTCTTTATACACTACTGATAAGATTTATCAGTAGCATACGGTACAAAAGTGTTGTTTTGTTTGATCAATATTTGACTTTTTTCCTATAAATAATCAACATTTCCATGATAATCACATGTTTTTATAATTGTTGTTTTCATTTTTTTAGAACACATATGCAGGATTTAAAAGACATGACATTGGATGTTCATTATGAAAATTATCGGGCGAAATATATCACTGAACGAATGTCCAAACGCCACAACGATCGTCGTGATGGTGCTGTCACTGGAGCGTACGTGATATATATATATATATATATATATATATATATTTAAATCCTGTATGAAAAGGAAATAATCTAAAATAAAAAAACGCTAAATTATTTCTGTACTGTTTTCAAATATTGTCAGGAATAAAACTTTATTATTAGACTACTGATATATTACTGAGTAGTATAGTAAATCTAAATTAAATTGTTACCCATCAGGTAATTCAGGGCGTAATAATAACCTGTCGGAATCAGGCTAATTCCAACGCTGATTTATTCACAAACGTACATCACCTAGAGAGTCCTTGACAGTTAGTTAGCAGTTCCTTCTACGGCTGTTCACACCCTAAACCAGTTTACGAATCAAACACTATTGCCGATCAGTTACTGGTTGGAATCGAATGACCGATGAATTCCGCTCTATTCCAATCCACGTCATGAAGTTATGATTAGAAGTAACTGGTCAGGTCTGTGAAGGTGAACTTTGAAGAAGGTGCTCGGAGACAATACTAACTTAGGGGGGACTCTATTTCGCAAATGCTGAAGTCATTTATATAAGTAAGTGTCTTCTAAACAGAGGCGAAATAGCTGTCCACTGCTACTGTGATTATCTATGGATCTTTAACTTTGTTGGTTCGTGGCAAATTCTCTATTTTTTGATAATAGCTGAATGTTACATTTAATCTGCAAACTATTCGTTTCTTACTACAGTTGCACTTCTGGTGTGACGAATAAACCTCTAAAGCACATACCACTAATTTCATTAATCCTTTTACCACGAGTATCACTGTTCACTTTCTTTTCGTAATTGTTTGTTACAGATTAGCAAGACTGGAAAAAGAAGGTGGTGCTAGCTTTGAGGCTATCGTTGATCAAGACAGTTTATTAAAACAAAAAGAAGAAGAGGTTAGTACTTCAGCTAGTCAAATATGACTTATTTTTCTCTTTTTATATGTGTCCCTTCTGTATTTCATTGACTGATAGATATATAGTGACAGAGATAGTTGTGTCACTGAAAAGTACACCATTTCTACTGTCAAGTTTTTGATCTGTGAAAAAAAGGACAGTTAAATATGCACCAGATTTTTGTTTGAAATAGATCATACACAATAGTTGTCTCAAAATAAAGAATCAATTAAAAAGGTGTAAGATGCTTTGAACTAACAATTATTGAAATAGTGCATAATTTCCTTTCAGAAGGGCTAATCATACTGTAACAACAGAAGACAAGCGCCAGGAAGCAGATCGTTTATTTAGTAAAACAACACACATTTATAGATTATTGTTAGCAAACAAAGACAGTCTTCTGATTGGTGGCTGCTCGCTGAACGTTAATCCTTCATCTCTTTTTCGCCATTTCTTAAAGTTCAGATTATCTATCTGCAAATTGTATCCACCTACGCAAACTCTGCTGTGATTGGTTGTTGAGTCAGTCTTTGTTCTTATTTTTCTCATGAACAATATTGGGGACGTACACATTGATGTAAATTACTGTCTACCGATTTCGGCTAGCAGCTAGCTCTCACCACAATACTACTAGTTGTCTGTGACGAAAACCCCTGCTCAGCAGTTCGCTCAGTCCTTCTCTACGGCTCTGAAACATGGCCTATACGAGTTGAAGACATGAAAAGGTTGACTGTTTTCGATCATAGATGTCTGTGATCTCTGTCTCACGTTAGGTGTTTTAATAAGGTAAGTAGTGTTGACGTTAGGCGTAGAGTATTGGGCAAAGAGGGAAAATCAATCGACGAGGCTATAAAGTTACATAGATTGAGATGGCTAGGTGACGTGCTGCGCATGCCTAACCATCGCCTCCCCCGACGGGCATTAATAGCTAATATAGATTAGTGCAGGTTGGAAAAGGGTAAGTGGTGGCCAAACAAAAACATGGCATCAATCCATGAAATCCTTGACAGTTAAACTGAGTCAGGTAGGGAGATACAGACTTCCGGGTCGGGGCCCTCGGGACTGACTCTAAGAATCAATGGCTGGAGACAATAGGTGACATGGCTCAAAATCGTTGTCAATGGTGCAGATGTATTCAGTCTCTGTAATCTTTCATATTTCTTTCTGCCCTTACCCATTCTGTTTCACTCTTATACTTGTCAGACTATTGATTCTCTTCACTCATCTTCTTGTCTACCTTTGTGTGCTGTTTGGAACGTGGCAACTGGAACTGCCGCACTTCGGCGCCAAGTTCTATGTTGAATCCAGACAGAGACAGACAGAAAGGTTCATCGAATTTTTTCAATGACGCCGAGAGTTTTCGGCAAACAAACAGGAGTTAAAAAAAATCATATTTATCAAATGAAGGTTGCCAATAGTATGAAATGACTCCAGCTTGCTGTTTGTCTTTCTGTCCATTGTCATCATAGAACTTTGCACCGATGTGCAGCAGTTCAAGTCACCACACTCCATGTAGCAGCACACAAAGCAAGAGAAGAAAGTAGAATAAATGCAGAATAGAGATGGTAGACTCCAGCTTACTTACTGCTTGAAGCTGGTGTTCAATCCATATGCACATAACGTAAATTGGAGGTTTCAATGTGCAACCTCTACTTCCACGGTGTGGGCAGCCGGGAAGTAACAATCGCCCTCACAATCCGAAATGCACACGAAACCTCTCTATTACTCACTCATCTTTGTCTTCATCTTCATCTCTATCATCTTGCCTTCCTTCCACTGATGCAACTCCTCGACTTGATAGCTCTCCACTCTGCGTCCACTAAAAACGATGGAAGCCAAAAAACCACCACCGACAGCCTCTTAAAGCCGCGCCACCAATTTCATATAGGAGCTCTTAATGTTAGGACACTTTGCCAAATAGGACAACAAGCATCACTAGCCAAGACCCTGGCATCACGAGCCATTGATGTATGCTGTGTTTCAGAAACACGCATACAAGACCCAAGTGTGGTTATTCACCTAACCCCACCTGGCCAACAGGTTGAATCTGCAAAATTCACCTTGAGGGTGTCAGGAGATGCCACAGCTAGTTCACGAGGATTAGCTGGCGTAGGGATAGCTTTGAGTACTAGGGCAGAAAAGACATTGCTTGACTGGATCCCGGTAGATAGCCGAATGTGTGCTGTCCGCCTGAACGGATCAGTAAGAAGGAGGAAGGACTGCACTACTCGCCGATGCCTTTTCGTAATCTCCGCCTACGCCCCCACTGACTGCAGTTCAGATGAAACGAAGGATGAGTTCTACCAAAAGCTGTCTAGTTTGGTGCGAAAGGCTAAACGCTCAGACATAGTCGTTCTAGCTGGTGACTTTAACGCTCAAGTAGGGAAATTGTGTCAATCTGAGAAGGATGTCGGTGGCACCTATGGAGCTCCGTGCCAGCGAACCGACAACGGTGACCGTCTCCTACAGTTCTGCTCTGATAATCATTTGTTTCTTGTAAGCACTAACTTTAAACACAAGGAGAGACACTGTTTGACTTGGAGACCCCCTTCATCAAACCAACGCTGGACACAAATAGACCACATAGCAATAAGCTATCGTTGGCGTGGGTCGGTAGGAGATTGTCGCTCCTTCTGGAACACGTGCGTAGATACCGACCATGCACTGGTCCGCGCTCGGGTGTGCTTACGACTGAACGGACGTAGGAAACAGCTGGCGGTAAAACCATCACGTCCCCAGCTCGATCAGGAAACTAAATCCGTATTTGAGGAAGAACTAGCTAAACACATATCTGTGTTCGACAGCTGTGCTCACCCTGAAGAAGCTTGGAAAAATATCCAGGCAGCCATAGATACAGCTGTAAAAGCTGTGAATAAGGTAAACCCAAAGGTGAGTAAAAACCACTGGATCTCCACCGCCTCATCCGAACTGATAGATGCTAGAAGACTTATTCCGGCGAGCTCCGAATTCAATGAGGAGCGAAAGCTGCACAAGAGGAAACTTACGAAAAGTCTCCGCAAGGACCGTGAACAGTGGTGGGCGACAAAAGCCAAAGAGATGGAGAAAGCTTCGAGGATAGGCAACACCAGGCAACTCTTTGGACTCATCAGGGAAACGGGTGGGAGAAGACAAATCATCAGTGAGACAATCTCGGAAAAAAATGGCACTATAATTAGCTCCCAGGATAGACGACTGGATCGTTGGAAAGAGCATTATGAGGAGCAGTTTAATTTGCCCACAGCCACGCTCAACCTTCCGAGCATCCAACACCTCCCTGAATGGGATATAAACACAGGTCCTCCGTCACTAACTGAGGTTACTAAAGCTGTCACCAATCTGAAACTAGGCAAAGCAGCGGGACCTGATGGAATGACTCCAGAGGTATTTAAGTACGGTGGAGACAGCTTACTGTCCGGATTAACTGAGGTACTAGGCAGCGTCTGGGAATCAGAAGAAGTCCCATCGGGTTGGTGTAAGTCACTGATTATCCCCATATACAAGAAGGGAGACAAGTCTTCCTGTGATAATCACAGAGGGATTAGCTTGACTAATATAGTATCTAAAGTCTTAGGCTCAATAATCATGCGTAGACTGAGTGGTGCTCGGGAAGCACAAACACGAGAGAGCCAGGCAGGCTTTAGACCAGGAAGAGGGTGTATTGATCATATCTTCACCCTCCGACAGATTCTAGAACATAGGCATTCCTACCGGCGTCCAACAGTCATTATATTTCTTGACCTAAAGGCAGCATTCGACTCTGTCGATCGGGAAGTTCTCTGGAGATGCTTGGCTGTAAAGGGAATTCCAAGAAAATATATTGCACTGATTAAGGCACTCTACTCGTACTCATACAGCCAGGTGAGGGCTTACGGCGAGCTGTCATCTGAACTGATGACGACCAGTGGTGTCCGTCAAGGATGCCCATTATCTCCTTTTCTATTCAACTTCATCATAGATGTGTTAATGGACTTAACCCTAGGTGACTTCAGCGACTCAGGGATTGACTTGCTACCGGGGAATAATCTCGTTGACTTGGAATATGCAGACGATATAGTCCTTCTAGGCGAAGACGCTGACGAAATGCAGAGTCTTCTAAACACCTTGAGCCGCAATCTACGAATGTTTGGCATGCGATTCGCTCCCGCCAAATGCAAGATGATGTTACAGGACTGGACTACATCGACGCCTAGTTTAAAAATAGGAAGTGAAGTGGTAGAGCACGTTGACCGCTTCACTTATTTGGGAAGTACCATCAGCCCCAACGGGCTGATCTCTGACGAAATCTCAGCACGAATACAAGGGGCTCGTTTCGCATTTGTTAGTTTACGCCGACTCTGGCGTAGACGAGATGTTCGACTATCGACCAAAGGGCGGGTGTACTGCTCATCAGTCCGCTCCGTCCTCCTTTATGGTTGTGAGACCTGGCCACTGAGAGTGGAAGACATGAAAAGACTAGCTGTCTTTGATCATAGGTGCCTGCGTTCTATTTCCCGTGTAAAGTGGCATAATAAGGTGAGCAACATGGAGGTTAGGCGTAGAGTTCTAGGTAAACAGGGGAAATCAATCGACGAAGTCGTGAAGCTACAAAGACTGAGATGGTTAGGACATGTGTTACGTATGCCAAGCCATCGCCTCCCTCGACGAGCTATGTTAGCGGATATAGGGTCAGGCTGGAAAAAAGCTAGCGGCGGTCAAACAAAAACTTGGCATCAGTCAATGAAATCCACAACAGTTGGTCTAAGCCACGTAGAAAGGTGTAGACTTCCAGGCTGGGGTCCTCGGGACGGTAAAAATCTATGGTTGGAAACAATTGGTGACATGGCTCAAAATCGTTCTCAGTGGCGCAGATGCATCCACTCCCTGTGACTTATGATCTTCAATGAAACTGTTTTGTATTTCTTTATTACTCCTTTGTCTCACACCTCTGCTCACTGTTTCTATTATGCTTTTCTTGTACTTTCTTCTCTTGCTTCGCGTGCTACACGGAATGTGGCGACTTGAACTTCCGCACATTTGTGCAAAGTTCTATGTCGAAAACAGACAGACAGACCTCTACTGCCACGTATATATATATATATATATATATAATTTTATTTTATTAGAAGGAATGTGCTTTGTATGCGTAAAATATATTTTCTTTCTCTTTGTCTCTGTCGCTTTAGACAGTGAATCAACTCTCCAGTTTGCTTCTTTGTTATCAGAAGATTTCACGTCTATACAGAATTAGTGATACATATGACCTTTTTTAATTATCAGAGTAATTTGTTCTTTCGTGTATGGTGTGATTATCCATTTATAATACTCATTAGAGTGCACATCATTTTTCTTATGAGATATGTTTGTTGTCGATTTTGAGATATTCTCTTTCTTCTTTCTTGAGGGTAGTAGTAGTCATTGAATGCATAGCATAATAAAGGGTATTGACTAGACTATACAAATTTCACTTCAAAAGTAAAGGTTAACTTATCATAACTTTGCACTCTCTAATCGATTAGAAAATACAGTCTTACAGATACGATATTACTAATATCACTAAAATAATCGTATAGTTCAAGTTACTAATCACAAATAATGGTGTACTTTTGAGATGCTGCTACCTTATTTTTATAATTGTGTAATTGGGTGTGAGGACAAATACTCGCCGAAGACATTGGCTAGCGGTTGCGCTATATCGTGAATTGGCAGAAGTTAAAATTCATCGGCCATTGGATTGGGTCCCAGTGGCTTAATGGTATACGAGCTCGCCTTGTAACCAGAAAGTCTTGGGTTAGAACCCTGGCGGTGGGTGCGTACTACTGAAGATTCCCGAACTAGGATGAAACAGCTGTCCAATACTCCCAGGTTTTCCAATGGTTCTCTAACTAATGTCAGCTCATGATGAAATCCTGTAACCAAAAATAAATACAGCCAAATTAGAGATGGTAATTATGATAGTTTAGCATAGATGGATTAAGACCATGCAAGAAGGAGTAGTAGTTGAACAAACTTTTTCTGTATACAGAGGTGTAGCTTTTCGATTTTCGATAGTCCAAGCTCCAGACTAACCGGATATGTAACGATTCGAGCAGGTTATTTTTCGCCTTTTAGGTAATAACTTTGAAGAAAGAGACTGTAAAAGTAAGAAGACCAGTGTCGACCAGATGTTCAGCTATTCCACTTCTTATAAATATTTTAATGCGTAGTTTTTTTCTTTCATTTATGTAGCTTCAAAGGATGCAACAACTTATGAATAAAATGCAAGAGCAATTGAAACGTAACACAAACATTGCTATGAATGCAACAGCCGGAATGAATAATGGTACAAATAGCATTCAGCCTTCTGCAACCAATCCACAAGCATCATGAAGACAAACAAACACATCGATGAATAAGGTGTTGAAATCTCTTCTTATCTATATATTATATGGGATGAAATCGATGAAGAAATAAAAACCAACAAACAAATAGGAACTACTTCCAGTATACACCTATAACTGCTTTTATTTTCGCTTCCTTTCGCTTATAATTTTGCTCTCCAGTGAAAATAACTCAAATCTTGTTTTATGTTTGTTGATAAGACTTATTGAGTTATTTGCTGTTGTTTCTTTTTTTTTTTTACTGCATTTGCATTTCTTTTAAGCTTAACTTGCAAACTACTAGTCAATCTGTCGTATAATTTTTTTTTATCGTTTTCCTTGTTTATCATCTGATTTCAATTGTCCAGTTCACATACTACATTGCACAAATGGTGTGTAATCATTCAGCAAAATAAATGTATTATTTACAACTCCTTTTTGTAATGGATAGCTTTTTCCCTCCTCAAATAGGACGAATAATTCATGAGACCGCCTCATCATTACGTGTTACGAGTTTGTATGTTGTGCTAAAATTTTAATAATTTTATATGATTTAATGTACCAGGTTGAAACCTTGGGTTCTCTTACCTCATGGTTTACTGCTCTAATATATTTATTAATTACAAAAGTTGTGTTGATTTCATGAAATTTTCTAACTTTTTATTTACTGTACAAATAGTGTACGGATGATTGACTGACCGAGTCCTTATGAAGGTGTGTCTACACTTTCCGGTTGCACACACCGTGGAAGGTGACTTTTTCTTGAAACGCCTAAAACAGAAGAAGCATTGGATTTGCATGATCATAAAGCCCAACAGACTACTGCTAGAGAGGCTGCTCACACACGGCTTATTTGAAGTGGTATTCTAAGTTGTGTCCGTATGAAGATCTTACTGTCGTAAGGTAAATCAGAATGGAAAATTTTCCGGAATGACCTTTTCGAACCACTGCCAATCCAGCAAGGAGTACTTTGCACTTAGACGGCACAGAGCACATAACATACTGATCGCCAACTGATTAAATGCGATTTGGCCAGCCTGCATACTATCGCACAGTAAGACAAAATCGTCTCCTTATTTGAGGTCGAGAAATCTTTCGACAAAATTCAGGTCTACACTACTACATACGTCCTTCAGAGGTGACTCCATAATGTCATCGATGGCGAAATTAAAGATAAATGGGGAGATTGGACAACCATGTCTAGCCCCTCATTCTACCTGGGGTATTTTGTATAGTGCTTCCAGGATGTTAACGAAATCCCCAGGTACGCACCTCCCTAATAGGCAGTCCCAGAGAAAAATTCTGTCCAGCGAATCGAAGGCAGCCCTAATATCAAGAAACACAACGATTGTTGGCCTGTGACATGTGTGACTGCGTTCTAATAAATAACGAACGGTGCACACAAACTATGAAACAACAATTCCATGGGAGATTGCAATCGCGCACCCACTATTACAGACTATAAGCATATATTCAGCAACGTAATCATTTTCATCTTTATTTTTATATATAGAACTTTGTGTTTTATTTTGTACCAGCCTTACAAGTTTCGGGGTCTTCATTTTCAACAGCCTTACTCCTCTGTCTGGAATCTTAGCCTATTTTTACCGTTATGAGTTGCTAGCTGCTACCTTGACGTGGTGGTTGGGCTTGCATATAGCAATGTTATTGTATGTCTTACCATGCCAGGAAGCTTGTTAGGATAACGATTAGACTAAAAGCAGTTACCGGCATGGTATGAGATTTTTGTTTTTACACTATGCTGGGGGTCTTCGGGCGAAGTCGTACTGCTATGGAACAGGGATGCAGCAGCAGTAAGGTGTTTCCTTCAGACGACCAGCATGTCAGCTATGCTGTCTCTCTGCTCTGGAAAGGGGGGATTAGAAAAGGTGAACTCAAAAAATTGTACTTCCCGACTTATCCTACGGTGGTCCGTAACAGGCGTTAAGATTACTAATACGGAACTAATCCAAGAAACCAGTCCACAGCCCGTGTGTGACCGGCTTCAAGCAGTTGTCCTCTAGGCTCTCCGGTCAAGGAACACTAACCCTCTTTCTGTTTTAGGTACCCGAAGAATTAATCAACTACCACGGTGTGGGCTGCCGGGAAGTAACAACTGCCCACACGCTTCCGAAATCACACGAAGCCTTCCTACCATCGTTCTCCTTTACCCTCACCACCTTCATCTTCTTACTTTCCTACTACAGTCAGTACTATTTTTCAGGTTAGTTAGTCATCTTCACTTCACTCTGCGACCACAGATAACGTTAAGAGCCATAGAAACACCTCTTAAAGCCACACCGCAAACTTCATATAAGAGCATTCAACGTCACAACCCTCTGCTAAATCGGACAACAGGCATCACTAGCAAGAACTAGCGTCTTGAGCCATTGATGGAGGTTGTGTTTCGGAGACATGCATACAAGACCCGAGAGTGGTTATTTACTTAACTTCACCCAGCCAATAAGGGGGATCTGCAAAAATTCACTTCAAGAGTGTCAGGAGACCACTCACCTAGTTCGTGAGGAGTCGCAGGTGTAGAGATAACCTTGAGTGTTAGGGCAGAAAATTATCTCCTTTACTGGATCCCAGCAGATAGTCGTATATGTGCGGCCCGTCTGAAGGACGAAGTTACCCCTCTCTGTCTTTTCATAGTCTCCGCTTACGCCCCAACCGACTGCAGTTCGGATGATCTAAAGGATGACTTCTACCTGAAACTGTCTAATTTGCTGCAAAAAGCAGGCGAATTCAGTGCCCAAGTAGGGAAGTTGTGCCGAACTGAGAAGTATATAGGTTCTAAGTATGGTGTTCCCTGCCGCCGAACCGACACTGGAACATAGGTGACTTACTTACTAGCGGCGTCCAACAATCGTTATATTTCTTGACCTAAAGGCGGTACTCGATTCTATCGACCGAGAGGTACTATGGTGGTGTTTGATTGTGAAGGGAATGCCGAGAAAATATGTCGAATTAATAAGGGCACTACTCGAAATCATGCAGTTAGCCAGGCGAGAGCCTACAAGGAGTTGTCATCTTAAGTGGCGAGAACTAGCGGTGTCTGTCGGGGATGCCCACTTTCCCCGTTTCTATTTAATTTCATTATAGATGTAGTAATGGAATTAACCTTACCTGCTGACTTCAGCGATTGACTTCTAACCAGGGAATAATCTTGTTGACTTAAAATATGCAGATGATGTAGTCCTCCCATCTAGGTGAAGACTCTTATAAGATGCAGAGTCTTACGAATGCCTTCAGCTGTAATCTGTGAATATTTGGAATGCGATTCGCTCCTGATGTCAAATGTAAGATGATGATACACGACTAGGCCACATTTACTCCTAGCTTAGAAATAAGGAGTTAAGTGGTAGAGCACGTTGATCACTTCACTTATTTCGAAATTTGCATCAGAAAATGCCAACGGACTGATCGCTGACGAAATCTCAGCACGGATGTAGAAGGCTAGTTTCACATATGCCACTTTACGCCGTCTCTGATGTAGACGTGATATCGGGCTGCCTATCGACCAAAGTACGTGTCTACTGCTCAGTATCAGTTCTCTCCGTCCTTTATCACAGTGGGCAAGACATGATCATTCAAAGTGGAAGACATGAAAAAGGTGGCTAGCTGTCTTTGATCATTAGTGCCTGAGTTCTATCACTTGTGTTAGGTAGTATAGTAGAGTGGGAAATACTGAGGTTAGGCATCGGTCGATTACTAGGTAGCTGAGGCCGGGGGAGTCTGTCTGTCTGTCTGGTTTCAACATAGAACTTGGCACCGAAGTGCAGCAGTTCCAGTTGCCACGTTCCAAATAGCACACAAAGGTAGACAAGAAGATGAGTGAAGAGAATCAATAGTCTGACAAGTATAAGAGTGAAACAGAATGAGTAATGGTAGAAAGGAATATGAAAGATTACAGAGACTGAATACATCTGCACCATTGACAACGATTTTGAGCCATGTCACCTATTGTCTCCAGCCATTGATTCTTGGAGTCTCGAGGGCCCCAACCCGGAAGTCTGCATCTCCCTACTTGACCGACTCAGTTTAACTGTCAAGGATTTCATGGATTGATGTCACGTTTTTGTTTGGCCACCACTTACTCTTTTCCAACCTGCACCTATATCAGCTAGTAATGCTCGTCGGGGGAGGCGATGGTTAGGAATGCGCAGCACGTGACCTAGCCATCTCAGTCTATGTAACTTTATAGCTTCGTCGATTGATTTTCCCTGTTTGCCCAACACTCTACGCCTAACGTCAGCATTACTTACCTTATTAAACCACCTAACGTGACACAGAGATCGCAGACGTCTATGATCGAAAGCAGTCAACCTTTTCATGTCTTCAACTCGTATAGGCCATATTTCAGAGCCGTAGAGAAGGACAGAGCGAACTGATGAGCAGTACGCACGTCCCTTGGTTGATAACCGGATGTCACGCCTACGCCAGAGATGGTGTAAGTCAGCGAAAGCAGCTCGAGCATTTCGGATCCGTGCTGAGATTTCATCGCCAATCAGTCCGTTGGTGCTAATACAACTTCCCAAGTAGGTGAAGTGGTCAACATGTTCTATCACTTCATTCCCTATCACTAAGTTAGGGGTTGACGTGGTCCAGTCCTGTAGCAGCATCTTACATTTTGTAGGGGCGAATCGCATGCCAAACATACGAAGATTGCTGCTCAAGGTGTTCAGAAGACTTTGCATTTTGTCAGCATCCTCCCCTAACAGGACTATGTCATCTGCATATTCAAAGTCCATAAGACTATTCCCAGGTAACAAGTCGATACCTAAGTCATTACTTTCAGGGGGGGGGAGGGAATCAATCGACGAGGTTGTGAAGTTACACAGATTGAGACGGTTAGGACATGTGCAACGAATGCTTAGCCTAGCCATCGCCTTCATCGACAGCCAATGTTATTTGACATAAAATTGATCAGGTTAGGAAAAAGTTGGCTAGTGGTGGCCAAACCAAAACATGATCTCATCAGTCGATGAAGTCCACAACAGGTGTAGACCAACAGCTTGGCTGTAGTCCTCGGGACAGTGAATGGCTGGAGACAATTAGTGATATGACTCAAAATCGTTCTCAATGGCTGGCTCAGATGCATCCACTTCTTGTGACTTATAATGCCCAATAAAACGATATGGTTCTTCGGTAATACTATTGTTTTTGCCTCATATCTCTGTTTACTGTCTGTATTTTGCATTTCTTTTTACTTTCTTCTGTTTGTATGCTAAGTGAAGTGTGGTGACTCGAACTTCTGCACATCTGTGGAAAGTTCTGTGTTGAAACTAGTCAGTATACTTCATTCATTGTAGTCACAGTGAAAAGCTGGAAATAACTTGATCAGGGTAGCTTTCTTCATGTGCCATGATATAAGCCACACTCACTATCTGAGGACTTATGATATCTACTGATACCCTCAGCCTGAAGGTGGGGGGAGCGGAATAGGAAACCAGGACACAGTAGCTGAAATTCAGATGCTTTATTTAGTATACCAATCGTAATTAATTAAATTGTGTACGTCTTCAAAAAAGCGCTCACACATCATGTAAATGCAGATAAACAAAATAGCGTTTTCTCTGAACAATTCTTCAGTTTGGTAGAGTTAACCGGATTTCCCGAAA